GTGTGTGTGTGTGTGTGTGTGTGTGTGTGTGTGTGTGTGTGTGTGTGATTAATGTCTTCTCTATATGTGATGTACCATTTACTGATCTTCTGATCTGGATCAGCATCTTAAATATCTGCTGCGTTGTTTCATAAACCTTCTAGAAGAATTTAATTCATGACAACGTTGGCAGTAAATATTAATATATCGTGTTTTACTCAGTTCATCCTGAAGCTTCAGCAGTGTGGTCTAACACTCTGTCAGGATGTTTGTCCTATAGGTCAGTGTTCCTTAAAGCTCCTCCTACTCATATCTAAGAGCCCCCCCATCACCCTAAAAACATTACGAATCCTGGAACAAAATCCTGAAATTGAATAAACTGATTCAATGCATTTAAACTTTTTAATGAATTAAAACAATTGTATTTAAATGTTATTAAATCACCTTTTTTAAAACAATAACTCGTCGTCTTCGTCAACATTAATGAGCGATGACGTCATGAATGCAGATACAAAATATGATCTTCTTTTCAGATCAATCCCTAACTTTTATGCCTTTTCAGATCAACAAAGATTCAGATAATAATTAAAAAAATAAAACAAACTGTTTATCAAGAACATTTAATTTGCAACAGATGCAAAAGTGAAGTGCGTCCTTGTGCCCGTGTGGTTCTCATAGATGCGTACCCGGTGTCTGAGGTGGTCTACACGTGGACTCAGGGAGCAGCAAAGTCGGTGGTGGTGGCAGAAGAAGGCTCCCGGCTCAATCAATACCATCTGATCGGTCAGACTGCAGGAACGGAGGACATCAACACCAGTCGAGGTACAGTGGAGGAACCACGGATCAGCATTATTACTCTCCTATCGTACATCTATAGCTATGGACCATTTTTAATGCTGACGTCATCATTATGAAATGTTGCTAATAGTCTAAAGGCACCACGTTATACGCCGCTCAACTTGGGGACATTAAAACGCTTTTTACGCCATTTAAAAGCAGTCAAAAACTATCTTTATTTTCTATTTCTCTTATAACCAGAGCAATGGTGTGTCGGCCATTGCTAGCATGTAGACCTGTTGATGTCTTGATTGTTGCCTTC